CCAAAAGTTTACGTACACATGAAATAAACGTGAATCCATACCTGTTTGTTTATGTTGGCCCCCACTTGGATCAACCAATTCAGACACTGTGGATGTCCTCCAAAAGCAGCAATGTGGGCTGGTGTTTGAGCAAAACGTGTCGTACTGGCATTTACAGAAGCTCCAGCTCTTACTAACTGCATTAGGCACTCCAGCTTTAAAGACACGAGGGAATAAAACCAAAAATGTTACACAGATGTGCCATGATAATTAGCATGTGATAAATAAATATGTAAACCCTAGAAAAGATAAGCAGACTATTGAGACCACAGGGATGCAAAACAAGAGAGTATGAGCATTACAATTTTCCCCCTCCCTACTTTGGGCATAGGCCATACCAAAGATGCATGTAATTTTCCCTATCAAAACTGAATACCAACATTAATTTTCAGGATAGGGGAAAAGAGGTCATAAACACCTCAAATCTGACTACAGAGCTATTTAATTCACTACTGTTAAGGAAGAGAGAATAAAAAAAAAAAAAACAACAAAAAAACCCCCAACAACCAAAACCCCAAACAAAGCACAAAAACAAACTCAAGAAATTTGATCCAGCAAAGTTGCAGACACCACGCTAACCAGACATTATTAGATAATGTTCGACAAAACAAGAGTGTTGTTAGGAGAGACAAAGATGTACTCTCAGGAGAGTTTAGAGGAAGGTAAATTAGAAAATCACAAGAAATATTTTGTATTTCTTTAATGTTTCCCTAAAGTGACAGAAGCAGATTACTAAAAAAAATAAAACTGTTAACATTATAATAACTAGTATGACAACACTATAAAAGGACTAAATTCTTTCCATCAATTTCCTGTTATTATGGGTGAATTACTGTTAAATAAATCAATAGGCTGCATGTCTGTGGCAATATTGGAAAAAGAAAAAACTTTATTTTAAAAAGCTGCACTATTTTATCAGACTGTATTCTTTCATTTTGTCACACTAACCAGAAGTGTCAGATGTACAGCTTCTATTTTTAGATGTTCATAACACCACATCTGTAGAAGCTAAGCAAACCACAGCCATGATGACTTCAAAGAAAACAAAACACCACACATGCACACACACAAAAAAAGGCTCCTTTCCTGTCACACAGTAACACTGCCTTTTTGTTGATAGGAAAAGGAATACACTATGCTAAAATAAACAGTTTAGTCTAGGCTTCCATTTATTGTGGTTAGATAACAAACACCACTACACACACGCAACAGCAAAACAAAAAAACCTTGACACCAACTTGGGGCACTGGTTCACATAAAAATCTAAGGGTTACCCTCTCACAGATAAAGAAAATGTTTGTTAGCCACACCACAGCCTGTTCGTACAGAAGAAAAAAAAAAAGGTACCAGAATCATCTGGCAAGCTGGCAGTTTGGTTCAGAGACAAATATAAACATCAAGATTCCAAGGTTCTTCTCTACTGCTGTATGTCAGTCTCTTTTTTTAAACCTGTAAATTCCTGATCTTCATGAATCGCATATACAAAACTACCAACCACTGTAGCAAAATATTTTGTATTAGTTTTGCAAACATGTTATGAACTTCAACTGCTTTCTCACCCCATATATGTCAAACACAGATGAGCCCTATCCTTTAGGGTACACAAAAGTACTTTTCTGGACTGCAATGGACTAGACACAGATGTAATACTAACACCCTAATTACATTAAGTAAACACGTGAGGGTGAGTGTAACTGAAATACTGCAGTATTGATGAATCCAGCTCCATAAACCTCAGTGTTACCAATGACAAAGTACCTTCTCAAAAGCAAACAAGCACTTGAACTTTACATCAATACTTGTGTAAGCGAATTTGTAGTTCTAATGCTAGGCTACCCAAATACATTTTGTGTTTGCTACTCTTAGACTTTTCCTCCCTGTTCACATGCTAGCTCCCCTAACATGGCTGCTAACCCTTAATAATTGTAACACTGTAATTACCAATAAGAAATGTGATGGAAAATAACTCCAGCTACACCAAGAGATTCCTCTAGCATAACTGCAACCAAAAATAAATTTCAGTCAGTTTTAAAACAATGGACTTCTAACATAATTAGTCTGAAAACACTTTCAGATGAGCATTACAAGTTCAGCAAATATTACTATTATTTCCTGCACAGAAACCAGGCTGAAAGAATTCCTATAATCAGGCAGGCATTACAGCCCATTAATAGAGAGGGGAAACACACTAGAATTTGTTCACCAGCAGCATCTTGTAACAAAAATGCTTAAATCCACTTTGTAACATGGTTACACACCATGATTATCTACACAACTTAATGTTTAAATTGTTTTCTCTTGTGTGCTTTATTTTTTCATTATCTTTTACAGGGTTTTAACAGAATATAATGTTTCATCCCATTAAAAGCTTAAGCATGGGTCTTCTGTATCACGGCTGTCATAAAAACCTGCTTCTTCCAACATTATGGAAGAACAAGGCAAATGCTGCAGACGAGAAAAGTCAACATAAAAAAACCAATACTGCATGATTGATTATGCTTGAGATCATGACACAGAAGTCTGCTCTCATTAGCCTTTTAGCAGATGTTTTCCAGTGTTTTGTCATACCTTAAGCAGAGGTTAAACTTAATGAAGAAGAAAGACAGGCCTCCACACAGGCCACAATGCTGGCAAAACACCAAGGAAGAGACGAGGACTTTTATCTGTATTGCTTTTGTTCCAAAAGAAACAGAATGTACTTACTCCTATTTTGTTTCCTACAATGTAAACAGTCAAATGGCAAAAATAAAAAGCAGGAGAAAAGTACGAGCAAATAGATGCTGTCTGAGAAAATTAAAATTCACATTCAAGTGGTTACAATGAGGTTAAATTAATGCAAGACACAGTGAATTAACAGCAACCTTGTTTTTTATGCATGCCCTTCATTTCCTGTATCTCTGGCAGATTTTTAGACTGCTAACAATTTTACATTCTGACCCATGTTCTCAGACATTTACAGGATGCCAGGGTAATTTAGGGCACTATATAATTAACTCTAATTGGAATATGGTAACTCTAATGAGAATTAACTGACATCTCAAGATATGAGCACTTCTCTGCAGTCACGGAATGTCCTGAAAATGCAAACACTGCCACAGATACTCAACACGTTAATATGAATTTGCTACTTGTGTCTAAAAGGAAGTCCATGCTGTCATTAAAACTCGAGATAAATATCCAGAAATAACTGGCTGTAGTATCTATTACTTTTAATTGACTGCTGCTATTTTATTTATTAGTTGCAAGCTGTAAAACTATGTTCAGTAGCCGCTACTGAACATTTCCAAAACCAACGTTTTAAAACTAATACTTTGGGAAACAGAACTCTCCAATTGAAGTTTTGATGACCCTGAATTGGGGGAGGGGGCGGGAAGAGGTGAAAAGGAACAAAAGATGCCTTATGCAAAGGTCCACTAAGTGCAGCTATTGTTTCAGTGCTGGCAACCCTCTATGAACTTGTGAAAGGCAAAAAGTACAGCTGTGCCACAAAAAGTCAGTCGATATTGGGGTCCAATTACACTGCTGGAACTCTTTCAATTGTATTGTATAGTCTCTGGCTCAGAGGAATGAGCACTGCCTAACAAGACTATAAAACCTGCAGATAACTTTCACAGACTGTAACTGCCCAGACTTTGTCACAAGGCTTTTAGGATAAAGTACGTGTACACAAAGTTCTATAGTCCATAAAATCCATGTACAGCCTATGCCATCTTTGCAAGTCTCATTTAGCTTGCCATATTTTCCCCCCTTATATACAACAAAAACAGGCATCAAATTTTGCCCATACCCAAGGATGGCCGTGGCAAACACACTATCTTGCAGACTGACTTGTTACCTTTGTCATCTGTTTCTTCAAGGGTCTCTTGAACGGAAACTAGGACACATACAGAAACTTCACACAATCTACGATGGTTAACAGAAAGCTGAAGATGCTTAAAGGAAAAAGAGAAAACAAACCAAACCACACACACCTCCAACACAAAAGCACAACTGCTATAAGCTCGCACTGAAGAGATTCTTGTGAGATGGAAAAATGAAACAGAAGACTGTAACACCAAATCAGTACGTTCATATTTTCTATGCATGTACTTCACAATAAAATTTAAAGCACTCTTTGTTCTGTTGGGGTTTTTTTCCCCCCAAAGTGTGTATTAGCTTTTTTCTGAACAGGTAATAGGCTTAGGTCTCGGCTTTTGTGGGTTTGGGGTTTTTTTGTCTGTTTTGTGGTGTGTTTTGGTGGTTTGGGTTTTTTTGTTTTTTTTTTTTTTTTTTTTTTTTAAGACTGAAAGGCTAGTTAACTATGTCTCCAAAATGTTTATCAAACAAGCACTGCAGATAAGATCATGTAACATACGGAAACCATGTCTTAATGGACTTTAATAAACCGTAACGACTGTCTGAGTACGTTCATTTTCCTCCTCCGGCACACAAACAAGAAGTACAAATACACTGGAAATGAGGGGAACAAGAACAAAAGAACCTCGAAATCCAAAGCCCGACAAATTGAGAAGGAAGAAAATCAAACCCCAGCCCTCTATGGTGAAATTCTGCCTAGGCTGGAACACTCACCACATCAGAAAAATGAAGAGCCTACATAAAATCAGGGAATTAAGATACCACTCCTCTTAAGAATTGCAAGATAATGTACCTACTTCTTATATTTTGATCTTTTCTCCGCTGCAACCATGCCAATTAATGCAGTTAATTCCGTACACGCATATGCGTATCACCCACTGTTTATTTTTCACACTGAAGGCGACAGAGCAGCGCTTGACAAGCACACCCATCTTCTCCCCGAACTCTCAGCGAGCCGGTAGTCATAGACACCACAACAAAACAGTCTCCAGGTGCTGAGCCCGAGAACCATTAAGGACAGCGGCTGGGCCCTACGGACAAAGCACGCAGCGGGGGCGGGGGGGGGAAGCGCAGCCGGACGCTTACCGGCCTCCCCCGGAGCTCCCCGGCCGGGGCTAGAGGGGAGCCCGCAGCCCCTGCTCCTCCCCTTCGGCGGCCGCCGCTCGGACCCCTGGATGCGAGACCCAGAGGCGCCTCCATTGGCCAGGCTGACGGGAGGGCAGCGAAAAACGGGTCCGCTCCAGCCGGCGACACTGAGAGGATGAATGATTGGGGGGCGGCAGGTGCCACCAGCCCTACCCCCGCCTCGCTGACCGCTGGTAAGCCGGGAGAGAAGCCAAGCGCCGCCGCTGTTCCCACCCTATCCCCAGAGCAGCAAGGAGCAGCCATGGCGGAGAGGGACGGGACGGCGGCAGCCGCCTCTCGGCAGAGAGCGCGCAAAGGACAAAGATGGCGCCGCGTTGCGCGGGACTCGCGCCCTCCTTCCCCTTCAACACCTTCCCCCCCACCCCCGCGCTCCCGGTCCTCGCTCCGCCGGCCGGGCCGGGCCCCACCTTTCCGAAGTGCGCGGCCCAGTGGATGGGCGTCCAGCCGTAGAAGGAATCCTCCGCCGCCAGGTCGGAGCGGGGCGAGCTCTGGAGCAGCGCGCACAAGGCTGGCAGGTCCCCATCGCGGCAAGCGCGGTGAAGGGGGAAGCGCAGGGTCAGCAGCTCCTCGCTGGAGAAACCCGCCTCGGGGCCGGCTCCCAGCGACATGTCGGGCACGGGGGACAGCAGCGGCGGTGGCAGGGGTGAGGAGAGGGGAAATAAGAAGGAAGGGATGGGAGGGGGAAGGAAGAAAGAGAGAGAAGGCACGGGCAGGCGCGCTTTGCCCGCGCTGGAAGCAGCGGCGAATGCGGCGGCCGTGAGCTGCCCGAGCACAAAGGAAGGGGGGCGGGGCCGCGCACGCCGCTCCTCCCCGTGCAGGCGGTGCCGGGCACCCCTCGGCGATCCGGGGCGGGAGCAGAGCCCGGCCTCAGGCAGGGCGCGGCGGTTTTGCGCGGTAGGCGTTTGTGTTTTCCGCTGCCTGAGGCGAGAGAGCGGCCGCCGCTGCTGCCTGAGGGTGCGAGTTTGGCAGCAGCCGCGAGGCAGGGCGGGAGCGGCCTCGTTTAGTCCGGCGTGCTGGTGGAGAGGGACGAGGCGCCGCCGGGGTCGGTGGGGAGAGGCATGCAGGCGGAGTAGACGGCGGGTTTATGCTCTCCCGGCGCGGCAGTGTTGCCGCTTCTATCCCTGTGCCGGTGGAAACTGGTGATGGGAGCTTTCCCGAGCTCTTGGCAGAGGAATCGGCCTCCCTGTCGGGTTGTGCTCTGCAGAGCGCCCGTGCGGTAACAGCAGCAGTTAAGGAGGCAGGATGCTGGGCTGCGTAAAAGCACTCACGGGAGCAGATTTTACGGAAACAAAGAGAACCCCATCAAGCCCTCTTCCAGGCATCACGCAATTTTCACCTGAGCAGACTCCCCTCTGCTCCAAGGGGTTGCTGATGCGTGCAATGTGTTCCCTTGCTGGGGGCCCTGACCTGCTTACTGTCTGGATAGTCAGTTGTGATTCCGTAACTGTGTAAGCGCTTTCAAGCCAAATTCAGGACTCCAAGGTCACTGTTGTTTCACTGTATAATGGATTACAAACCAAAAGATAACCTTCTTAGTGACTGATCACAATGACAATGACAGATCTGCAGTTGCAACTAACAACCAGTCATAGAATGCTTTGGGTTGGAAGGGACTTTCTAGTTCCAATGCCCCCGCCACAAGCAGGGACACCTTGCACTAGATGAGGTTGCTCAAAGCCCCAACCAACCTGGCCTTGAACACTTCCAGGGATGGGCCATCTATATCAGTGTCTCATCACCCTCACACTAAAGAAATTATTCCTAATATCTAATTTAAATCTCCCCTCTTTCAGTTTAAAGCCATTCCCCCTTGTCCTGTCACTACATGTCCCTGTAAAACGTCCCTCTCCAGATTTCATTTAGGTCCCTTTAGGTACTGGAAGGCTGGTCTAAGGGCTTTTCAAAAGCCTTTTCTATGCTGAACAACCGCAGTTCTCTCAGCCTGTGTCCATAGCAGAGATGTTTCAGCCCTCTGGTCATCTTCATGGCCTCCTCTGTACTCACTCCAACAGGTCCATGTCCCTCTTGTGTTGGAGGCCCCAGACCTGGACAAACTACTGCAGGTGGGGTCTCATGAGAGCGGTCCTTGAGTAAGGACTCCACAAAAACTTTAGGAATCTTTTGCTGATTGCTCCTAATTGTTTTCTGTGCAAAGTATTTGTGAACTACTTACTGTAGCAAAATTAAATTGATGGTAATGGGTTTGTTTAAGCCTAAGTACATTCATCTGCCCCTGAAAATCAAGGAATATTCCTTTTTCATTATACATTCTTAAGCAATGTAAACTGGGAATTATGTTTAGGGGCACAGAAGGTACAAAGTAATTTCTGTGAAAAGCACCAGGAGACCTAGACAGTTTAAAAGCTTTTCTCTAACATCAGGTTAAATTCATCATTACGGTATTGTGAAATATCTTTTGCTTATGACAGGAGTTCTGACTTCTCAGAAGGTATGTTGGTTTTCTCTCTTATGGAAGCAAAACCCAGAAATTAGAAAAACTAAAACATTCACAAATGTTTTTGGATTAGAGTTTGTGCATGAGAAATGTGAATTTTGTATTGTGATGGATAGAAACCAGTATCTGAAATTATTTGGCTTAAATGCATTTTTAAATTACTTTTCTGATTGAACTAGTAGTGGAATGTATAAAGATTGTAGTTTGTTTTTTTTTGTTTGGGGTTTTATTTAAATAGCTTTTCTTAATTCCATATACTCTTTGAGGGGGAACTCTGGTTGGCTAACACATCACTGTTAGTTTCTAGTTTTTGCTGAAGCTGACCCTCATCATGGTTTTGTATACTCTCAGCAAGTATGTATTGTGGTTCCATAGGAGTTCCTCACATTTATTTGGCTTTATTGTATTTTGGCGTAGCTGAACTGTGTATGTGTGATATCCTATCCTCAGAGATAAGATTCCAACACAAAAACACCTACCTTCAAGCAGAAAAAACTGCACCTTGGACTGCAGCCATCATAAAACACCCTCTTGACATATGCCTTCCATAGCAAAGGGTCTTTTTGTACATATGTAAAGTCTTAGAAAAGGAATTAGATGTACAGCATATGGCGTAAAGTTTTAGTTGTCAAGGAGGTGATAAGGACGTTCATTCACTGTGGAAAGGGCTGATACTGTGTGGGTGCTTTCCAAAACGCTGTTGCAACAGCTAACAGATTTGGATGAAGATTTTACTTAAAATATCACAATGATGGCCTGAGGTAGAAACAGGGGGTTTAGACTGTAAAAACTATAGCAAAATGAAACACCTTACTTGTGTTCTCAGGTTTGTTTTGATCTGGAGAGTCAGTAATAACATATCTCTCTACTTCAGGCAAGCAGCACAGGTCTGGTATCAAGAACTATCATATTTAACTATAAATTCATGCAAATTATTAAATTTGTATGTGGTTGTATTTTTACAGCACTATCAAGACAGAGAATACAAAGATAGAAAGTTGGCTTTCAGGAACTTTTGATTTGACCTTAGCCATGTTCTTCATTGTGGCATTATTTAAACTGTAGAGGCTTATTTAATTAGGTTTTCTATCTGCAAAATAGGAATAATAAAATCATGTCTTGAGTGGTTGTAAGAAGCTCAATTAATCAAAGTGCTTTGAGGTAAAAATACAACACTATGATAGAAAATATACAGATGAGGAATTTCAACACTTGAAGTTGGTGCAGCTAATACATGCATCTTCTAGATATTATTCTCTCTTTATCAAAACAAAATAATACTTAGATTTCTACAAGGCTGCCAAGTCACAGATCTCAGAATTATGTGTAAAGGAGGGTGAGTTAGAAATAAGCTCTTTTATACATGCAGCACAGGAAAGGTAAACGCTTTGGCCAGGGGAGGGAGTACTTTTAGCTACGACAACTTTCAGTTTAGTACCTTACCCTTTGCCTTACAAACACTTTCATCTTTTGGATCTGGCCTTTGTTTTCTCATGCTCTACGAGTTTATCATTCTGCATGCATTTCTGGTTTTGGGTTATGTAGATTTCTGGGGGGGCCCCCCCCCCCATGTAGCTAGGCAGATGCTAACAATTTACATCAGTATGCCTTGTTTTGGGATTAAATAAGAAAGGCCCCACGTGATAGAACAGTTGAAAGAAAAAAAGGGAGGAAAAAACCCAAAACCAACCCAATCCCCAGAACCATAACTTATGTTACAAAAATAGTCATTACCAAAATACCTGCTATTAAAGAATACAGTTTCTTAAGTTGAAAACAGGCAAGCTATTTCTTATGGTGTTGTATAAGCCTTGACAAAGTTGTTCACGTACTGTTTATAATAAAAAGCAATAAATATATAAAAAAGTGGGTTATAGTGAAGATGAACAAGTATTTAATATTCCTGAACTTGAGAAGATAGATATTAAAGATTTGCATGTGCTTTTTCTCTCTTACTGGGAGCCGCTATACTGGATAAACGCAGTGGTCTACCTGGTTTCCTTATAGACACTGTATTTACCTTTTAGCACTCCATGTAAGACAGACAAGTGCTGTTATATTCATTCTAGAAAGGGGGAAGCAGAATGCAGAGAAGGGAGGAGGCTTCAACAATGCTGCATAGGAATTCTACATGTTTCATAACTGAATTCCTCATTGTGAGGTCAACCATTTTTATTTCCTGCTGGTCATCTACACCAACAGTTCCAAAATAGACAAGCACACTGCTCTCCATACTATACTGATTCCATAATCAGTCTGTAGTTGGCATATGACTTGGGGAGTCACATTTGCCTCTCTCTGATTTAAATTGTGAATCATTATCCAGATAAATGTAAAATTTAGTATGTTTTCATATTCTGCTTTTCCATTTACTTCCTTAATATATTTTGGCAATGGGCTTTATAAGCTGATTTTAATAAAAATTAAGTTTTAATTAAAAATGCTTTCTTTAGCTGCTGTCATATGTTGTGAAACGAGACATGGGAATTCTGGGTTTAATTTTTTTAATATTTCATTACAATTACATTATAATTCATTCTTTTGTACTTCTCTCTCATTATCACAGTTAGCTTCTATACAGAACAATGACAAATCTTGAAGATATTTTCAACAGCCTTTCTGTCCAAAAGATCAGATATGTAAAGTATAAATCTGCTATGTGATTCTAACTTCTTTCTAGATGATAGATTTGGTTTCCCTGAGAGATATAGCTGCTAT